TTATAACTCAGAATGCAGAAAATTTATATCATTTAAAGAATTATCTAATCGTTGCCACATGTTCTATTCAAATACTATAATAAAGCTAGAACGATGTATAAAAGAAATTAAGCAAACAAAACAAAAAAAAAACTAGTTTTTCACAGACGATTGAGTATTTCTTATTCAATTAATTCAGTTCTCACTTCACAACAAGGCAAAAATACATAAAAACTCAAAATATCCGTATTAAAAATTACTTAATTATTAAAATTAAATTAATTAATAAAAATTAAATTATTAAAAATTAAGTAAATCTTAAACAGTTATTTCCTCGAAAAAATTCCAGAAAGTATTAAGCATGATTAAATTCGCAATAATAAATGAAGGCGTTATGTTTGTTGTTGCGAAACTACGTTTCTCTAGATGGCAACAAATTCACTACTCTGCTATTTCAAATGTAAACAAGCAATGGCCCGCCATCAAAAAAATTATTAGGCTTAGCGGCAACTTAACAACTTTAAAATTGTGATAATTCTAAAAATATTGCATACAGATTTACTAAAGGCATTAAAAAACCTTAACCGGAAGATAAGAACAACATAATTCAATCATTTTTAAAGCAAAAAATGTACAATTTACAACATATAAGAGTAAGAAAACTGAGATCGCTGAGCCGAGTAACAGAGTGGATATATATATAAATATATTTATATACGTTTGGCGCGGCCGATTGCAAACAAAATACGAGGTGCACATCTACATGTTATAGTAGTCCTATGTACAAAATTTCAACGTTCTGAGACTACTCGTTTTTGAGTTATGCGAGATACGTACGTACGTACAGATGCTACGAAAAAGTATCTTCAGAATTCATTTTAAAGCAGTTTTATAATTTTTTTGGAGGAAAAGAGTCTTTTATTCTGTCCTTACGTACAAATATCACACAAAAACATCGTTAACTTGCATTCGAAAGCAGTCAAAATGGATATTTTCGTTGAAATATGCTGCCTGAAACTTTTCGCGATTACAATACTTTCTTTTTACTTCATACAAGGAAGTAAAAAGTTTGAAAACTTTAATAAAAACAATTTGTTTATTAGATTATAGTTAATTTATAAGAAAAAGTATTGTTTTTATTAATAATAAAAGTTGCTATTAATAATGAATATTAACTTTTGTCAAATAAAATAGGTAACAAAAATTCAAACATAACCTTTTTTTGATACATGTGAGTTTACGGCGCATGTACCGGAGAAGGCACTGAATGACGAATCGAAATCAGCCAGTCAGAGTATCCGAATTTAAACGGTCCGGAAACGGTGGTAAAGGGTTGCCACCTGCATTACTTGAAAATATTAAATTTAGAGCAAAATGTTATAGATTTTTTGTGTTTTTACAATTTTTGCCACGACCCAGCTGAAAGTTTCTGCCACCCGGTGCCGGGTCGCGACCCAAACTTTGGAAAATGCTGATATAACTAATATAATTTCTTTAATTTCTACTTATATAATTTTTCTGAATTCACGTATCTAAATTAAAATTTCGTGACAGAAATATTTCGCTTAGCGACACCATTTGGGTCGCGGTTAATAGTTTAAGAAACGCTGCACTATAGCATTTAAATTCTCAAGGGAATGTATTGGTCCTTAGCCTTAGCATGAGTTCAATAACTGATTTCTCAATTAATGTGCTTATTGATCTGTAATATAATCTCAGAAATACCCAAAGAGTAGCTAAGACCTTTCGTTATAACACTTACAATCAGTGAAAATCTTTGAGTTATAAAATAATGCTTTTCGCTGAACACGCCTCCTCACGCCTTATATAGAGCTGAGCCTTTATAATTGTCTTAACTGAGTGGGTTTAAAAACTGACTGATAGACTCACTAGTTTCAGAATTAATTTGCAGAAATTAAAAATAATACTATCCAAATAAGAGTTATTTAAATCCAAACAATTATGTAAATATTAATTATTATTACTATTATCTTGCAGGCAACTAGAATTTGATAACTCAAATTTCAAACTGCTCTTCTTTAAGATATTTACGTTCAAAACATCTACAGCCTAGTCTTTTCATTTTTCGAAACATGTTACTTTACGTAATGCTACCATAGAATTTACCATTCACTTGGCATCGAGCATAGCTTGGGCCGAAAGTTGTTTCTATTCTTTTGGCATAAGGTCTTTATTTTTTTTTATTACAATACCGTATTACTTATTATTAAAGCTATTAAAAATAGCATATGCTAATTATTGAAAAATTTTATTATTATTGATTTTTTAATTACAGCAATACATTAAAGAAAGAAAAATGAAAAACCTATTATGAGCTTTTTAAATAATTTACTTAAATATCACCAAACAATTACTTATAAATACTGCTTACTATATTATGTAATGCACCTAAGTGATAATTTTTTGTAGGAGCCTTGACACTATTAATGCAATTTTTGTGAAACAGATCTACTAGCTGTTATGTATTTTGGCTACTTAATAATCATTGCATACAAAAAGCAAAGTTTTCTTCATATTTTAAAGTCATTTTCTCATAATTAAAGTAAAAAGTGATATATATTCAAAACAATATATATTAAAAATATATTCAAAACAAGTTATTAAAAACAAACAAGTTGTCGAAGGCTTCAAAACAAGTTGTCGAACGGTGTAGTGAGATTAAGTTATTTCGAAACAGGAGACATGAAAAATATGTAATGCCCTCGCCAGGACTCGAAGCTCAGACCTCTCGAATATGCGCCTAGTGTGCTGAGCATTACACCACGAAGGCATGCCAAGAAGGCAGGAGAAATGCCTTATAACGGTGGGAGGGAAAAACTTGTTATAATTTTATTTCATCATAAATTAGCATTACTTGGTGACCTTTGTTTTTACATTTACTTAATAAAGAGATACAGTCGAGTACTTTTTCCACCCGACCTCTTGCACTCAAGATTGGCAAAATGTATTTCGCCAAGCAACGTGACAAATGAAACTTAGTTATTTCCTTTGCATTCAAGTGCTTAAAATCAAAAAACATAAACAATTCGCACAGATTCGTCTCCTAGCAACTACCGAGGAAGTAATGGAAGAAGACTTCTTCCTCTGACGTTGACGCAGGGCTTTTGAGCTTTCCCATAGTCTAAGCTGTGTGGCGCTTTTGTTTACGTCTACCGTTTTGACTGCTTCTTGGAACCTAAAATTCAGTCATTGCTTTGACATCTTCTTTGGAATCTAAAAATCGGGCGATATACAGACGTTAAAAACATTTGTACCTATGTGTGAATTATATTAAAATCATAGCGTTAATAGTTTTATAACTTAAGCAAATTTATGAAAATTTACGTAGCAGTAAAAATATTTCAGCAAATGCGTTACTAATTTCGTTTAAATAAATCCCGCTATAAAATGTCACGAAATTCGTATATATTTTCCAATCATTGTAATGTCTGAAATGTATAATCATATTTTTAGTGAAGAAGGATGAAGTCGAAGTGCTACAGAATATACCGTATTATCAAATTTTTACAGAAAATTGATAGGAGATAAAAGTATTTCATGTTAGTCAGTGGCAACACACTGCTTTTAAACAAGACGTTCGGGAATTAAAATTTCAAAACACATGTCTTACATTTTACCAAACAGGCTGGAGCATTAATGATAAAAATATTTTATTTCGAACGTTGCATTTTCTTGCTTTGAAATCGCAGACATTATTAATCTAAAATACACTAAACTCGTAAAAAATACGCAATAAAACAAAAACAATTTTCCTTATATTATTAACTTTTTATGTGTTAACTTTATTTATTAAATATCATGTTCTTCGTGCTTAACGACACATGAAATTATATTCAACAGAAAAATATTTAAAAGCAGCATATCTTTATCCCCATGGTGTATTAGAGGATGCCATGCATATTTTTTATATTCGCTATGTTATTTCTTTAAAAACTAGCCGCTTGCACAGCCATGCGCCTTAAGTAGTTATTATAAAATTAGAAAGTATATAATGATTTTTGTAAGTCCAGCTAATGTAATTTCATAAAAATATTGAATATTTCTTATTAGACATCTCATAATTTTAATATATGCGTATTTAAATTAATCACATAAAACAGTAAAAAAAAAAGTTTTAAGACCTGTGTTTATTGCTTTCAAATCATTTAGTTTATTACTCAGTAACCTTCCAGATTAAATTTGAAAATATCTTAGGCTTTACTGAATAGCAATATGCTCGTGCTTGGAAGATAAAAGTATCTTATTTCCGGCAGCGGCAACACATTGCTTCCATAGAGCCGAGTTTGTTAATTAAAACTTAAGTATAAATAGCTTATACGTTTTTGAATGGCAACAGTCTCGCGAGATGAAGATAAATAAATATTATTTCGAAAAGTGTTGCCACTGCTTGCTTTCAATTCTTTGAGATCGTCAATAAAAAATTCACTAATGTTTTACAAAATATGACACAAATCATAAAACAAATTCGAAATTCAAAATTCGGTCTTCTAGGTGGACATATTCGGGTGGAAGACTACGTTAATATTCACTTAAATATAACTAATAAATTATTCCTAAATACTGTTTACTATTTTATGTAATGTACCCAATTTATACTTTATTATGAATATTGACACTATTAACTCATTTTTTGTATAAGAAATTTTTAACTGTAACTGTTATGCACTTTGGCTACTTAATAATCATTTGCATATACAAAGCAAACTTTCCTTCATATGTATAATATGTTTTTCGTACACGTAAGTTGGCAAAACATTTTGCTTTCTAAAGCTTTTTGACTTTAAACAACTAAGCTAATTTTTAGTAAAATATCTTCCCATTAAAAATATTTTCCCTCGTTTTTCTGTGAGAAATTTCACTGCATTTGTCTCTACTAGAATGTATTAAGTTTCTTAAAACTTAAATCTTTTAATTATATTTTGTTAATTCTTTTCCTAATATCCTACATAATTTACACATCAAAAGAATTCTTATGCAAACATGTAAGCTCAACCGTGTACCTTATTTACCTTTCCTTGCTTTTCGCTGTAACTTTCCACCTTGCGATGCCACATATTTTTAATACCAAATAAATAATATTCGAAGAAACTCAGTATCCTTCTAAAGTAAAATATAAAGCATGACATGCCGGAACACCTTAGGAGGGAGAAAACTCTTATCTAATCGGCAGATAACTGATGGAATAACTGCAATCATAGAACGTGTTGCACGACTCAGTAACTGCGGTAGACTAACTAAATTCAGTCTGGCGGGGAAAGAAGTTAGTTTCGATATCAAAGCACGTGGTTAAATTCGGAGGCGAACGGAACTGGCAGAAGTAGCGCCATCTAGAAACTAAGACTAACATTATTTTTCTAATTTTGAAATATCCAAGCTCTTTGTATCGATATGTTAACTTCAAGGAATACGAATTCTCACATTTTAGATTCGATGGCCTCTCATAACAAAAGAAAGAGAAGAAAGTGTAATCTGATTTCTAGTCGGGCAAGATATTTAACTTTTTTTGCCGTTATGTTTCCTTGCTCTACCATATATTTACCATTCTAGTGATTAGGCAAGTTTGGCGTTTGAGTGAAAATTTTTAATTTATCTTTTACGCTTCTTAATAAATAGCCAATCTCAAAGTGTTGCCAGTCGCCTAAATGCAAGATCTTTAATTTATCATTCACATTCAATCAATCTTTAATTACTTAACAAATAGAAAGATTTAAAAGCAATAAAAGAGCGTTTTGATTATTTAAACTTTTATTTCATCTTATTTAAACTGATATAATTTAATTTTAAATTTATCTTCCAGTTTTGTAACATTGATATAATTAGTAAAAAAAAATTTTAATGCTATATATTATGTACTTTGAAGCAGACTCGTTTAAACATTAAACAGAAACTCATTGAACTATCAAGATCGAACTCTTAGCAAACAAAAATCTATTCTTACTTGTAAATGATATACAAACTCAAGAAGAATTCTAAAAATTCAAAATTGTGGGAACTCAGAGATTTTCTTAGATATTGGAAGAGAAAACTAAAAATTATTTTTTTTCTTTTTGATAATAATAATAGTCATTGTTGTCGTTTAAAAAAATATATTTAAATAAAATTAACCTTAAATCATATATAACTAAATACAGAAATTAAAAACATTGTTGGCAACAAAAACAAGTGTATCTTTTCAAATAAGACGGTACATTTAATGCACTATTCTAATTATATCTTCCGTTTTCCTTAATAGGGTTAAAAAATAAAAAAAATCCTCTTAGAAATTGTGTCCGTCTTTGTCTAGTTATTATTGCAGTTTTTGATTTCCACTTAAAAACTTTATTGATGAAATTGAAAGATAGTATATTCCAAATCTTTGGCTAATATAATATTTTCTTTTTTATTTATCTTAAAGGCAAAGAGATTTTCAGAACGCAGCGCTGATGATTCCTTCAGTTAGATCACGGGCGGCAAATATTTTTAACCGCGGGCCAAAAAGATTTTTTAGTGCTTTTTAGGCAAAACCGTGACGATGTTATTATGCTACGTTATTATTTACATATCGTGATGCGGAGTGAGTGGAAACACCCGTCCCCGGCAGAAATTTTTTAAAAAATTACTATTAGAAACAGTTATAAATAATTAAAATTACATGCAATTAAGAAAAATACTTTTTTTTTTTTTTTTTTTTTTTTTTTCAATTATAACTGCTTCCAAAAACGGGATCTGTTCCTATTGGTCATAAAGTAATTGACACGTACACTGTTTCATTTTCGAATCAAAATTTAAAGAAGGAATGTTCTTTGCCTAAGCTCCCTTCTGTAATCAGTCTTTTTATCTTAACAATATTCATATGCCATTGTGTAATTTCTAAATTATAGCTGCTAGAAATGACAGAACTATACTTTTCGGTAAATGAACATGCATTCTAGCATTCTAGTCATCTTAGCTTATGTTGAATGTTATTCAGTAGCTTGCATAAAAAATCGGGTAGGAAAAAACTGAAAATATCTTTTCACAGGATTTAATGACGAGCCGGATTAAGTAATTAGAAGGGCCATATTTGGCCTCCGTACTGAATTTTGTTCAAAACTGAAACAGACGAAAGTTACAAAACAAGGAAATGAAACTACCTTTCAAGGTATTAAACCAATAAGCACTTTTAATGAAATAATTCAACTTGACGTGTCATCTTATACGCTGGCAAACTTTAACTGTGAGAACATTTTACAAAGTGAGGTAGAGGAAATCGAAACGCACCTAAGATGCGAGTCACACATAAATAAAGCTAAGTCTGTTTTTCTGCGGCCATTCTGCAAAAGAAGGAAAAGAACTTTTACAGTTAAACTGGAAGATTGTTGTGGCGCTTTGACCGATAATGGCCTTTTATCTGGGCTGGAAAAATTGGGACTTTTCGACTGCTTAATTTCAGTTCGCATCGCAACAAACAATGGTTTAATTTTTTAAATATTATTCGAATGAAAACAGAAATTGTGCTTCTACGCACTTTTCAAAGTTCAGTACTTTTTCTAGTTAGATGTATAGGAATTTTAAATAATTTCAAACTATGTGCTGTTTCTGAGACTACTGAATGGCGACTACTTTCTGAGACTAAGGTAAGAATTGTCGTCACTATACCAAGAAGAGATAGAAGAAGAGATAGATATTTTGCAGTTCAGAGAAAACTCTTGTTGGAAGAATGACAGTAATACAGATCAGGTATTCATTTACGAATTGATTCACTTTGCCGAGCGAGCGAATGCTTGATTTGGGAAAAAAGAGCTGAGTGCTTTAAGACTTATCCACCGAGAGCTCTTGTTGGAAGCGTGCCAGAAAAGGAGGGAAAATGAATGGTTATCCTCGCATGTTAAAAGTGACTTTAATATTTATCATTAGCTAACTTTTTGAAAAAATTTTACTCCATAATTTTGTTGTTAGTTCTATGTAGAGAAGAGTTTAGAGACTGTAAGTGAAATCAGCTCGGGAAGTTAGGGTTTGATTTAGACGATTCTTCTGATCCCATAGTGCATTCAGTTCTGTTCGTTCTTCGGTCGATTTCGCTAACCACTCCCTATCCCACTGTTCGTTCGCTTCTTTCCGCTCTTGGCTCCATCCACACTAAACAGCTCTTGATTCACCCTTCGTTTCCGATCTTTTCATCAGATTTATTGTTAGTGAGCTGTGAGTCATAAAAAGAAACGACTCATTTCAGAAGGAACGGTTCTGATCGGATCCCACAGATGAGCGGTTTTGCCCACCTCTAATCTGCATGGCTTTCTCATTAGACTGTAGAGGAAAAAAAAATAAAATTTAAATTTTAAAAAATCTGATCGTTTTCAGATTTTGTATTACGACCAAAGGGACTTTTTTAACTTTTGTGTGTTACCTTTATTTATTAAATATCATGTTGTAATGTTCCAACCTAGAATTTACAGCTAAATGTGTGGAACCTTGAGAACTGGTAAGCGAATAATAGCTTTAGTTCAGTAGACAGAAACGCAAACTTGAGAAGGGTTAATTACCCTTTATTACTCAAAATAAAGTTCACAGACGGCTCTTTCTCAGGACGTACATAAAAGCCTCCACTTGGTCTTGAACTCAAGAATACTAAGAAATAAACTTAACTAAACTTACTTTAAAAGATATAGCTGAAGCTATCAAAATTCTACAAGAGTTGGCCCCTTAAACACCAACTAAACGGCGAAGCTATCAAGGGCCTGAAATACGGCCGAAAATAGAAATAGCTTAGAGTGTGTGGCTAAAATGCGAACGCTAGCTAGTCAAAATCTCTGGCTCTCTAACGAAGTCAGCGGAACTTCGACTTTAAATATTGCTCTTCCTTCATTTGCATTTAACCGCGATTCTACAAACACACTCTGGCCGGAAATTTGTAAGCTGAAATTAGCAGGAATAGGAAAGTAACTTTAACTAAAGATAACTGTTAACAACTTAGGATAAACCTTACAATGTTCTTCGCACTTAAACCATAATATTAACTTCAACAGCAATATCACATAATATTAAAATGAGCATACCTTTAGAATTTCCGATACTCAGTCTCGAGCCCTGGAGATTTTTTTTTCGTGCAGTGATACCATTGCTCGCTTTGAAATCTGAGTTTGTTATGTAAGACTTTCACTTAGTGTAATTCTCATTTACTGTAGAAAATGAAAAATCTTAAGAACTAGTTAGCTAATAATCGCTTAAGTTCGTATGGCAAGAAACAACAAGATGGAAGGGTAATTAACCTTTTATTATTTCAATAAGATTTAACAAAACTTCATCTTGGAGTGTACAATCAAAGCCGACACTTGGGCTTGAACTTAAGATACTGAGAATTAAACTAAAACTAATATTAACTAAAGAAATATAGCCGAAGCTATCAAGATTCAAATCGAGTTGGCCCCTTAACTTATTTGACTACGAAGCTTAGCAAGGGCCTGAGTACAGCCGAGAGTAATAACAGCTTTGAGAGAGAAAGTGGCCAAAAGGCAGACGCGCGTAAATCAAAAACTCTGATTCTCTCTAACTCTCAAAGTAAACTTCGCGGTTTAAATACCGCTCCTCCGCATTAAAATTCAGAAAGATTCCAAAACTACGTTCTGGCCGGAAGTAGTAAGTTGAATTAAGAATTTGACAGGAAAGAAATTTTAACTGTTAATAAAATTAACATAATCCTTACAGTTAATCGAAAATTTGTTAAAGTGTTACAAAATATGAAATCGATGATAAAACAAATTCCAATTTCCAAATTAGGGCTTCCATATTCTATGGAAGATTGCGTTATTCAAAATTGGATGGCTCTAGATTCCGTTGTTTTATCACAATGCGAGAAACATACATGCATTTGTGCAGATTCTTCATTATTTAATTTCTTTAAATATAACACAGGGATGGTAACAATTTGAAAACAATTGGTGGTAACAATTTGAAAAGTGAACCGACATTTATAGTGAACCAGTGCAAAATGCCAAAGCGAAATTAATAGCCCTTCCGGTCTAACGCCCTTTGGGCTAATTGTTTTTATTTTCAAAACTTTGCTATGTTGGTAGGTTATTTTAAACAATCTTAAGGTAAAATCGAATTTTAGTTTCTTCACAGAATACTCATCCTCGTGTCACTCACGACGGAAAAGTCAATAATTTCAGAACTATTGTATGATAATTTGTAGGAAAGCAAAAAATAAAAAGTACACTAATTATGGAATGGGGTTGATTGTTTTGCTTTGTAAGGTCCTTATATTAATTATCCAATTATTA